TCTCACTCTCTCTCGTTATTTTCTGTGACACAACGTGAGAGACGTCGTTACTGTCGTCGGTGGCCATAGGGCCGCCGTTTGCGTCTTTTCCGGCGACGCCTGCCGCCTAGGCGGTGACTATATGGGTGTGTATTCGAGTGTTCATGTGGTTGTTGTATTCGTGAGGATTATTTGTGCGACTTTGGACGGAAAACCCACCACCACCACCTCAAGGTGGTGGCCGCCGCCTCCTGCCACCATTTGCTGCCACGTGCCGCCGCATAGGTGGTTGTGAGTGTGTCAATAGATGCGTGTGAGAGTGTTTCCTCCTTGTTGAGATGTTTATTGGGTGTTTTGGGTCGGAGAAAAACTATGGAAAACCCCACCACCACCACGAGGTGGTGGCTGCCGCCGTGAGCCGCCACCGACCACCACTGCCCGAGGTGGCAGTGGGTGGTGCCCGGCTAAGTGGAACCCTAATGGGCCTAAAAGCTTAATCTTGGACTTAGTTGGATGGTGATTGGGTTAGAAACCCTAATTAGGGTTTAGAAAACCCTAATTTTAGAAAATGTTGGTTTGGACCTATCGGGACCCGCATTTGGACCAGTGGACTGAAGTTATGACTTATGCCGATTTCATTGTGTGATGGCTTAGTGGAATAATGGACTTAATGGGTTAAGTGAGAACACTTAACCCTAATCGTCATTTCATGTGAAAACCCTAATTGTGTTAGGGTTTGAGTTGGGCCTAAATGTTTGGACTATTGATGAGCCATCCAAGAACAAGTATATGGACTAGAATATTTGGATTGGCTTTAGGATAAGGCCCATTGGACAGGCTTGGGCCCAATTAGGAAAATTGGGCCATAGATGGGCCATAACTGGACCTTGATGATTATGAGATATTGGACTATTGGATTGCCAAGTGTTTGGACCAAAATAAATGGTTGGGCCTTAAGGTGAGACCATGTGAGGGGTTTGGGCCCAATTTGGAAAATTGGGCCATAATTGGGCCTTAGTTGATTATTTGACTTTTAGGCCTTCAGAGTATGAGTTTGGGACTTAATCTTGGACCAAACTAGGTTAGGGGTAAAATGGTCCTTTTACCCTAAGTGGGGGATTCTAGAGTTATGCATTGGAAGCCCAAATGGTTAATTGGGTTTTATTTTGGTGTTGACAGTTTAGGGATCTGTCAGCTAGCAGCTAGAGATTTATTTGCGGGACTTCAGCAGTGCGAGGTGAGTTTTCCTTCAGTAGGAACGATTCTAAGGCACCAAGGCCGGCCCGTATATGTGATATGTTAGTAGCTGAGTGTGGGCAGGGCCCGTATCTCATTATTATCAGGGTATAGATATCAGTCAGTTTGTTGGATTGCTATACTTGTTGTTTGTGTGATACTTGTATGTGTTTGTTTATGTATGTGAGTGTGGGCGGGGCCCGTATCTCATTATTATTCGAGTGTGGGCGGGGCCCGAATCTCATAGTAGCCGAGTGTGGGTGGGGCCCGAATCTCGTAGTATTATTTGAGTATAGATATGTGACTGCTTGATAGGAGTAGATATACTTGTTGTCTGTGTGATACTTGCATGCATGTTAGTAGTGGAGTGTGGGCGGGGCCCGAATTTCCTAGACAGCGGAATGTGGGCGGGGCCCGAATCTCCTAGACAGCGGAGTGTGGGCGGGCCCCGAATGTAACATCCCCATTTTCACGGCCAGAAAACACCGATTTTGTTTATGCTTTATAAAAACCAGAGTACTTTTTTTAATAAAAATGTTGCAGAATTTGTTCCCAGTAAAACATGATAAATAAGTTATTAAAGCATTTCCGAAGAAATGTATTTTAATTCATTTTTAAAACATTTGGGATGTCATCGTCAATACAGAAACATAAGCATAAACAGAACTTACATTCATTTACACTAGTGATCTACATCTCTTTTAAATCTCTCAGTGTAATGTAACTTCGTATCGACACCTGTGATAGAAATAAGCTGGAGTGGGTCAGGTTGGGAAACCTGGTGAGTACATAGGGTTTTCAACCCACAATAATATAATTATTATGTTTAAACATCAAACAATCAACCCAATTACCCATCCCCATTATCTTCTTTACTCTTAAGGATCTACCCTAAGAATCAACTATTCCTCGTTTATTCATTCCTAAGGATCATCCTAAGGAATCGGCACGAAGTCCATCGTCACCGGGGTTTAGGCACTAAGTCTGCATAGTCGCCAGGATTTATACAACAGGCACTAAGTCTGCATAGTCACCAGGATTTATACAACAGGCACTAAGTCTGCATAGTCGCCAGGGTTTAGGCACTAAGTCTGCATTGTTGTCAGGGTTTATACAACATGCACTAAGTCCGCATAGTCGCTAGGGTTTTGGCACTAAGTCTGCATAGTCGCCAGGGTTTATACAACAGGCACTAAGTCCGCATAGTCGCCAGGGTTTTGGCACCAAGTCTGCCATGATCGCCAAGGTTTAGGCACCAAGTCTGCATGATCGCCAGGGTTTAGAGTACACCGGGTGAACACATCGTTCACAACACCTACAGGTTGCGAGCCTGCTAGTGTTCCACTGGACTGTCTAGAATAGTCCGTGGTTGTCATCCATACTCTGCTAGATGATGGGGCCATCATTTGGGAAAGGCTTCTCACATTGTCCACCTCTCACACTCACCTCGTGGTCTATAACACCTCTCAACTCATCATCCAACTCATATTCCATCTATTACATCTACCCATGTTTTACCCAACATATTATCGTAGATATATATATATATACAGTTTAAATCATTTAAAACATGTATAAAACCGTTCATCCAGCATAGACAGCAAGTACTCAGATAATATGCACACATAGCACGTAGTTTATATAAAATACTTCATATCTATGTGTAAGATGAAAGTAACTATGCACTCACTTGATAAGGTGGTGACTCGATACTCGGACAACGCTTCGTTTACTTTAAAATAATTTCCTTCGACGAAACCTAGTATTATTACCACTAGTTTTTAGTCTAATATTTACCGTGACTAATTATTAGTGTTATTATTATTATTATATAAGCGTTTAAACAATACTTTCCAACCACTATGTACAGACAGGGGCCAGACATAAAACACCGGAGGGCAGGACCATTTTGGCATATAACACTTCTGAAATCCAACAACCCTATGCGGCCCTTTAAACCAGATTCCCCGTACCGCGAGTAGTTAAAAAGATATTATAACGACACTTATATAACTCACAATAATAGCTCAAATATTTATTATAAGTTCATAATAACAATACTAATTTTAAATATAAGCTATATTAAAATAGGTAAGCATAACTTACTTACAAGGGGGTTTTAGCTAGGAGTCGGGCTCTGCAGGGGCAGAACTTCGTCGCTGAATCTTTCTAAGAAAGATTCGTACAGCGCTTCAGCGCTCACCTTACTATACTAAAAACTACAGAAAGAGAAGTCGAATCACGAGGGACCGAAATGCTCGGGGGATAAGAAGAGAAATACTCTTGAATCAAGAGAATGGTGCAAGAAATATGAGAGCCCAAGCCTCTTATTTATAGTAATTGAATTTACAAAAACTACCCTCCATAATTACTTAATGACCTTATAGTTATATAAACGACTAAACACCCCTTCATAATACTATTTTAAATAGATTTAACGATATTTGTACTAAACTAATGTCGAAAGTACTCAACACTAGTCTTATAATAACCGCATCGTCGATACCTTTCTAATGATATATACATTTGTATATATATGTGTACGTATATATGATTTATACTTTATTTTAATACGTAAATATGCTATTATAATTTGTAACTCGTTCATACGAACTCCATTTTTGACGTTCTTTATATCCACGCGTTGGTATTTACGAGTACTACAACTTTCATTTAGACGCCGTCAGCTAATTCTCATTCTATCTCAGATTTACAAAACTGTATCAAATTTATCGCGTTCGAAGAGTAGGGATCAAGTTTCGTCCATATCTTTAACATACGAGCTCTACTCTCAACATTCTTTATATCCACGTGTAGGTAAAAACAAGATCTAAAACTTTCATTTAGACTCCGTCGGCTAATTCTCGACCGATCTTAAATTTAACAGTAGGAGGAGATTATATTGTTAAATGTCCGCGTAAAATTCATAACTTCTACATACGGACTCCGTTTTCGTCTGTCTTTTTACCGTTGAGTTCCTATTAATGAGATCTTCAACTCTCATTTAGGTCGCGTAGGCCAAAAACCGTTCAAACTAAAATTCGAGTTTCGGGTCGTGCACTGCTATGCCAAATCTTAGAAAATTTATAACTTCCTCATACGAAGTCAGATTTGGGCGTTCTTTTTTTGTATGTTCTCGTTTTAACGTATACTACAAATTTTGTTTAGATCACTAAGGCTAAGAAGTCTTCTACCGTAAATTCACTATTTACGTCTCCCGGTGCCGTGCCGGTTTTGCCGTAAAACTTCGACGGGCCATAACTTTTTCGTTATAACTCGGATTTCAGCGTTCTTTATATGTACGGAACCCTTGTAACATATAATACAACTTGTTTAAGATTAATCCTTCTAAATAATCTTCCAACAAAAACTCTTTTTTGATGCTCATCGTCTCTAAATTGACTAGCCCGGATCTGTGGGCGTTACACCGAATCTCCTAGACAGCGGAGTGTGGGCGGGTCCCGAATCTCCTAGACAGTGGAGTGTGGGCGGGGCCCGAATCTCCATGAGAGTGGGCGGGGCCCGTATCTCCTAGTTGCATGTTATGTGTATGATATGTGGTAGTTTGGAGAGACTCACTTCGTGCTTACAGTTTTCAGTTTTGGTTTCAGGTACTTCGGTTTTCAAAAGAGGAGCTCGGGATGATTGCAGTACACACACCATTTGTTTAATAATAAAAAAAATGAAATTTTTGTACTGTATTTTTGGGATGTTTCACCTACCCACAAAACTTCGAGCCCTTCACCACTTTCAGATGACATTATGTAGAATATTGTAACTCCGAAATGTGTTCATTAAACCAAAACTCCGGAATAATGACTTTTGTAAGTCCGAAATACAATTTTAGATATAGTCTCTAAAATGTGGTTATGAATAGAGGGGACCATACTAACGGGTTGAGTTAACAATGTGGACGATAGACCCGGAATATAATGTTCGAGACAAAATGATTATTTTGCAAAAAAATATATATATATTTTTTCTTTAAAAAAAAGAATTAGTTTAGTTAATTTCCTTTATAGTAAATAAAAGTTTAATATATTAATTAATTAATTTCCAAATTTGAAAAACAAATAGAAAACCTTTGATTGGTTAACCCAGTCGAAAACTACCGTATTGAGTTTTGACCCACCAGTTCCTTGTCTTATTGGGACACTTACAAGCCAAGCCACTCGAAGAGAGAAAGATGTGGAAACCAGTTTAAAGAACACAGACAAGGAATTCCCTTTAAATTATTGCTACTCCACCAAACACACCTCAATCTTCAGCCGCCGCCGCCTCCGCCGCCGTGGTTCTTTGATACCATTCAGCCCTAGACTCACAAGGTACATCCCTCTTTCTCTTCCTCATTTCCACCTTTCTTAATCGTGAGACCATTTTCATGTTCTCTGCACCTCCAATGTGTTTTTGTTTGGATTAATTTTGAATATTGGTACTGATAATCGCTGGTCGATTTATCTAATATGTCAGCAATTCGTATTAATTCAACCGACAAATCATGGCACTTGCAGGTCGTTCTTAATCCAATAGAAAAAAGCTCGTTGTCGATTAGATCCTTCAACGTTACATCATTAGCAGGGAGAGCTACTATGTTTAATTAGCTCTCTCTGCCTCTCAACTCCCCTGATATCACCCCAATTTGTCGAACAATCTCGTTTATTTTCTAGTTGTTACAATGGCGACACCTACATACCTATGCGGAGCTAAGACCCCGTGTTATTTCTCCAAGAGTGCTTCGTCGTTCTCCCGATCCATGTGTTCACAGCAGCAAAAGCTCAATTTTGCTTCATTCGGTGGAGCATGTAGAGTGGTTCAGTGTCCAACTCAAGGCAGGGGAAGAGGTGTGAGGGTTGTTTGTAATGTACAAAAGGTAGATGTCCTCACCAGAAGTGAACCCGAAAGTCAAGCTTCAGAAGGATTAAGCAACCGGCTATCATGTGTGATGAAGTTTGGTGGATCGTCTGTGGCCTCAGCAGAAAGGATGAAGGAAGTAGCTGACCTGATCCTCAGCTTCCCAGAAGAGAGTCCTGTCATTGTTCTTTCTGCCATGGGCAAGACCACCAACAAGCTTATAGCGGTTTGTGTTTCTTTCTATATATCAGACACAGTCATGAGTTTTTTCAATAAGGTTTTTGAGTTAAATTTGGGTTGTATGATGTAGGCTGGAGAGAAGGCTGCAAGTTGTGTTTCCATTGTGTCTGAAATTGATGAATTGGCCTTTTTGAAAGAACTCCATTATAGGTAAAAATCTTGATCATTGACTTCAAGTAGCTATTAAAGTTTGTAGAGATTAGTTAATATACTGAATGGGTATCACTTTATATTCTCAGGACAGTGGAAGAGCTTGGATTAGAAAAAACACTCATTGAGGGTAAGTTTATGATGCAATGTACTGAATTATGTTTAACTTGTGTCATGTTGTGGAGTTTTTGGCCTCTTTCTGAAGCATAACATACCTTAAATAGTTAATAATGGCATAGTTTTTTGTGTATAAAAATCAACAGGTGATCATTAATTTTTGTTTCTTGCAGACCACTTAGAAAAATTGGAGCGACTTCTCAATGGGATTTCTGTACTGAAAGAGTTCACACCACGTGCAAGGGACTACCTAGTCTCATTTGGGGAGTGCATGTCCACAAGGATATTCTCTGCATACTTGAATAAAATCGGTGTCAAAGCTCGCCAAGTATGTGATTTGTTGATCACTTTTAATTTCCAAGTATTTTGTGCCTATAGGGAGAAAGAGAAACTAAGGGATTTTTAATCATGTCTTTTCCATGCTAATGACTTGACATTGTTTTTGTTGTTTTCTGGCAGTATGATGCATTCGATATTGGTTTCATTACAACAGATGACTTTACTAATGCGGATATTTTGGAAGCAACTTATCCAGCTGTAGCCAAAAGACTGAATGGTGATTGGATTAGGGATCCTGCAATCCCTATTGTCACTGGTTTCCTTGGAAAGGTTTTTTACTTTATGCATGATGCTTTTTAAGTCAGGGGTTGTTGGAAGAATAACCCTTTTTTGCAGAAAATGATTGTTTTGTTTGTTTAAATTGTTTGTAGGGTTGGAGAACTTGTGCTGTGACCACATTGGGTAGAGGTGGTAGTGATTTGACTGCCACAACCATTGGTAAAGCACTTGGTTTGCGAGAAATTCAGGTTAGTCAAGAACTCGAAACTTCACATCAAAATGTGAAAAAAGACATGAATACCCTTGTCATAAATTTTGATTACTTACAGGTATGGAAAGATGTGGATGGTGTCTTGACATGTGACCCTAATATATATTCGGGTGCAGAACCTGTCCCATATTTGACTTTTGATGAGGCAGCTGAACTTGCATATTTTGGTGCTCAGGTATTTATTTATTTTATTTTTTTGCACAAACCAAACATATAATGATGAAAATACAAAATCATTAGTTTTTGTTTTGATAGGTCCTACATCCACAGTCTATGAGGCCTGCAAGAGAGGGTGATATACCTGTTAGGGTTAAAAATTCTTACAACCCTAATGCACCCGGTACCTTAATCACTAAATCACGAGATATGAGTAAGGTCAGTAATAACAACCTACTTTTTGAACATTTTAAAAGCTACTCAACTCTGAAAAGACTAATTTGTCCCTGGTTTTTCAGGCTGTACTTACCAGCATTGTTTTGAAACGTAATGTGACAATGTTAGACATTGTTAGCACTCGCATGCTTGGTCAATTTGGATTCCTTGCTAAGGTAATATCACTTTATAAAATCATATTATTGTTTTTTGTCATAAAAATTAGCAATTTTGTCCTATTATCAGTGTCAGTGTCAATGTCAGTGATAAATTTGTATATGGTACATGATTCAGGTGTTTTCAATTTTTGAAGATTTGGGTATATCAGTGGATGTTGTGGCTACCAGTGAAGTTAGCATTTCCTTGACATTAGATCCTTCAAAGCTTTGGAGCAGGGGAGTTGATTCAGCAGGCAAGCGTATGATATCATTCTCATTTTTTATAAACAGGATGATGTCTTGATAAAAAAAGCTTTGGAAAGACTGAAAAAAATCAAAGTATGTTAATATGTCCAAGTAGTGATATCGTAAGGTGGTGTTGCAGGAACTTGATCATGTTGTGGAAGAACTTGAAAAAATTGCTAAAGTCAATCTCCTTCAACACAGATCCATTATTTCACTTATTGGAAATGTTCAAAGATCCTCACTCGTATTGGAAAAGGTATAAGCATATGCTTCATTTAAACCGTGTTTGGATAAATAATGTTTTATGACAAAATAAGTTATGTGGGTGTAGGCATTTCGTGTTCTTCGTATGAATGGAGTAAATGTTCAAATGATATCTCAAGGAGCATCAAAGGTGAATATATCACTCATAGTGAATGACAGTGAAGCAGAAAAATGTGTGAAAGCTTTGCATTCCGCCTTCTTTGAGAATGATATGTCCGACATCGATTGAGATGATTGATTTTGTACCCATTTAATTTAAACGTGTAGTAGCATATTTATTACGTTTTTGCTAGAAAAACATTTATGTTGTTAGGGTTGTTAACTTGTTATTCAAGTCTTCGATTATTGAAAACAAGTTGCATGCCAAATGATTTTATGGGCTCCTTCTGTATTTCAGTTAAAGCCTATATTTTATATTTATTTTTCACAAGAAACTTGTGAATAAGTAGCGAGAATCATCGTCCTTTTGCTCAAGACTCATAATTCTTTCCATGCTCAAGTAAGTATATCATTTGATAACGAGAATTGTTTGTTTATGCATTGTTCAAGGGAGCCTCCATATTGTCAAAGTAAAGAATTGTAAGGTTGTAACTTTGTTGTAAACTAGGTTATAACATGTAGAAGTCACGATATGTTTAAAATTATTATATTAGATAAAAATATGTATTGTCTATTGTAAGTTTATAAGTAAGGGAAATCTTCAGAAAAGTCCCAATATTTTCGGAAAAGTTACATTTTAGTCTTAAGATTTTTTTTTTGAACGAAAAAGTCCTGAAAACCGGCAAAAATTTGCAGTTTGACCTTTTTGACCGGTTGAAACCGGTACCAAATTAATTTGGGACTATTTCGTAAACTAACCCAAAATATTGGGACTTTTCTGTAAACAAAAAATATTAGGATTTTTCTATAAACAAAAATATTATGACTTTTCTACAAACAAAACCCTTATTATTATTATTATGAAAAATATAAATAAGAATTCTATTTTTTGAACTTGTTATTATTAATATTGTTACTAATACATATAAATGCATTTAAATGAAAAAATAATATTAATGACATTATTTAAGGGTGAAGGTGGAGGAGATGGTGATGCTTTTAGCATTGAAATCATGAATGTTTACTTGTATATTTTTACTTTGTATATGGTCATTTCACTTTTGTTATTATTGTTTTCAATTCAGAATAATAATAGTTAACAATTTAAAAGAAGTTGCATATTTGTAAAATTGTTTATAAATAGTTTAAGGTAGAAGGATTTCTCACTTTGTATATAAAAATGTTTAAGGTAGAATGATTACTTTTCAAATCCAACAGATCCACTACAAACATCTACATAGGTAGCCCATATCAAAATTCAAAAATATTAATTACAATATCTTGCTTGATAAAAAGTAATAGGATATGTTTTTTGGATTAATACTTTTGAATTATTCCTATTACTTTTTATTAAACAAGATATTGTAATTAATACTTTTGAATTTTGATATGGGTTACCTATGTAGATGTTTGTAGTGGATTTGTTGGATTTGGAAAGTAATTCTTCTACCTTAAACAATTTTATATACAAAGTGAGAAACCCTTCTACCTTAAACTATTTATAAACAATTTTACAAATATGCAACTTCTTTTAAATTGTTAAGTATTAATATTCTGAATTGAAAACAATAATAACAAATGTGAAATGACCATATCCAAGTAAAAATATACAAGCAGACATTCACGATTTCAATGCTAAAAGCATCACCATCTCCTCCACCTCCACACTTAAACAATGTCATTAATATTATTTTTTTATTTAAATGCATTTATGTGTATTAGTAACAATATTAATAATAACAAGTTCAAAAAATAGTATTCTTATTTATATTTTTAATAATAATAATAATAATAATAATAATAATAATAATAATAAAAATAAGGGTTTTGTTTGTAGAAAAGTCCTAATATTTTTGTTTACAGAAAAATCATAATATTTTTTGTTTACAGAAAAGTCCCAATATTTTGGGTTAATTTACGAAATAGTCCCAAATTAATTTGGTATCGGTTTCAACCGGTCAAAAAGGGTCAAACTGCAAATTTTTGCCGGTTTTCAGGACTTTTTCGTTCAAAAAAAAAATCTTGGGACTAAAGTGTAACTTTTCCGAAAATATTGGGACTTTTCTGAAGATTTCCCTATAAATAATTATAAATTAAATTGTTATGTAAAATAAATATAATATTTTATTATATATTTCAAAAATGTTATTAGGATAGGATTTTGTATTTTAAAATTTTCAATTTTCAATTGAAGTTGATATGTTACCATAGAAATAAAAATAGTAAAAATCATAGAAAAATGTCACTTGTCACAAAAACATGCAAAAAAATGGTCATGTGTCATTCTTAGATTTTGTTTATTAAAATATGTAGATTCTTATCTAAGACTTGTATCATTTGATGATGTTATGTGAATGGACATAAACATGCCTAGTGTACGACTAACACAACAAAGAAACTTTCGTATGCCAAGTGTATGACTAACTCAATAAAGAAAGTTTTGTAAGGGGACTAGAGATTATCATAAAATAAAAGAAAGTTTCATATGTTTAAGGTACTTCATTGAAGTTTTTTAGAGGTTTTCCTAGAATTTGTGTCAACAAACAATTAAAAATACCTCTAACTTTTTAGAATATGTCCAAGTTAAATAGCAATGATTTGAAACACTTCTTTTTAAACTGTTATCAAAACCCAAACACTAAATCGTGTGGATGTGTAAAAAATATAGGATTTCCAACACTAGCAGAAAAAGAAGAGAAAGATGAATCTCAGACCGATCTCATGGCAAGATCGAGGAAGTGTGTTGTGGTGGGTGAAGCATGAATTGCCTAGATATTATTAGGTGTTTGTCTCTCTTATTTAAGCTGCTTAATAATTAGACTTTTACGAACATGTATGATATAAATTAGGGATGAGTATAGATGGGTACCCATTCTAATTGTCTGGAACCGGATCCGGATACTGAAACCGTCGGTTCTTGGAATGTAGGATCCGGAACCGAAACCAGGTACCCGATTGTTTTAAATATGCTAATAGTTTGAGGCAACTTTATGTCTACAATTCTATAAATACCCCTTCTATTCCACAATCAAAATCATACCATTTTTTATCTTTTTCTCTCTATTTCATCCATTCTAACAAAAAAATGGATTCCCGCATCTCAACCCCAAAATCTGGTAGAAGAAAACTTTGTGTTTCTAGTACAACCATACCAACTAGAAACATTTTCACTTTCAATCTTTTGGTCTCGGATTATCATCTCCAACATGATGAACCTATTCAATCCCTCTACAATTTGAATACCAAAATGTTCAACAATACTACCACATGCAAGTGTTAAATGTTAACCCCAACATGTTCACCAACTTTGTTACTTTTCCCAATCAACTTTCACCAAATCAACCCTAAGCCAAACCCCACACTATCACTCTCAAACCCCAAACCAAACCCCACCCTACCACCTTCAAACCCAAAGCCTCGATGACTCGGATGACGAAATTGTACGTGAAACTCAACCCCTCTCACCCCTTTCATGCCGTAAAGGAAAAGAACCGATGGAAGATAAAACAAAGACCAACCCTAAAGGGTGGACTCCAACATAAGAGTTATTGTTGATACAATATTGGGTTGACATTTCGGAGGATTCATAGCTAGGAAATGCAAAATCGATTAACCATTTCCGGATACACATTCTTGAAATATTTCGGTAGGAATTGGGTGTTGGTGATGACTACCGTACTAAACATCAACTAAATTCAAAGTGGCGAGAACCAAATGGCCTTTAGCCTAGCGGTATCAAGGTGTTAAAAATGTGTTCCTCCCCCAAGGGGTTTGAGGATTCAAGTCTCGTGGTGGACAAAAGGAGTAGTTTAGGAGTAGGATTTAGCGGGTGTATGTTAGTCGTTCAAAAAAAATCAAAGTGGCGAGATATTGCGAAATGTGTTTCGTAGATGAACGGGTTGTACAACAACCTACAACCCAAAGAAGAAGTGATCAAAGTGATGAAGAAGTTCTTCAAGAGGCTTTGCATTTATATCGTGACGAAACGAGAAAGGCGTTCAAGTATAATGACTCTTGGAAAGTGTTATATTCTAGTCCGAGATGGAAAGAATTTGAAGCCACTGTCCTACATGGAGGAGAAACAAGAAAAAAAAACAGGCTCAAGTGGATACACAACTTCTTCGGATGCTTATGTCGGGTTAGATTTGAATGATGACGACGAGCTCAAGCTAAAGGAAATTGTCCGACCGATGAGTAGGGACAAAACAAAAAGGAAGGGGAAGGGGTCTTCTTCAAATGCATCGGATTTCAGCAGCGAAGCAGAAGAAAGGCAGAAAATGACGAAGACAATTGATCAATACAATTTGAATTACGCTGAACGTTTGGAATTTGACAAAGAAAAATTTGCCAAAAACGAAATGGAAGATATGAAATTCTTGATGCAAAATACTGATCATATTTCAGGACATGCCCTCGAGCTTGTTTTGAGGATAAGGGAGAAGATCACGAAAAAATTATTTCTCCTAGATTGTTTCATGTTTGTTTGTTTTTGTTTTAAATCTTGGTTGTTTTTATTATATAATTTTTAATTATGTTTTGTAGGTTTTATTATGTAATTTTTATTTTTAAGTAATGAACTATTTCTATTTTTATTAATTTTTGTGTTTATTAATCAATTTTAATTAATTATATTTATTTTTTAAATTATAGTTCTTAAAATTAAATTAATTTTATTGTTAAAAACTAAAAATAAAAGGAAGCAAAAGGTGACAATTTCCTAAGTTTTGAAGAGTGAAAGGAGAGTGAAGGGAAAGCCAACATGCCACAAAAAAGTGAAAGGTAAAAGGTGAATACACCTTATATCAAGATCGAGGAATTGTGTTAAAAGTAGTATAATGAGGTGAAGATGCTTTAGACACTACTTTGATCAATTTTGTGTAAACGGTTGTGATATAGGTTAGAGATTCACTCTGAAAATATAAATCTTTCGATGCGAAAGTTGTATGGTTATTTTTTTATTTTAAACATTTAAAGAGTAAATCTAAAATAAGGATATATATATGAGCATACGACTATATAAATTACAAGATTGATTGCAGATAAAATCTATCACATACTTTTGAAATTTACTAACACAACTTAAAAGTTAAAAGTAAAACAAACTACAAATTAGAACGAAACAAAAATACAATATGTTATAGTTCATAACTAAATTAATAGTTTGGAAGTATACTTTCAGAATATAGTATCTTTCAGATAAACGAGATCAAATTTTACAGAATATATGGGGTTGTTTGGCAACCATTGAATCATTTAGAGTCTTGAATGATTCAAAAGCTCTAAA